GACCTGCTTGAAAGACACTGCATCCATAGCCAAGGACCATCTCTGTGGAGAATGTGCATGTATTGCAGACTTCAATTTTGTTGTTGTGTTTAGCACTGACTCCTGTTGTAAGCACTCTTCGGGATGATTCTTCTGCATGTGTCATCCCAAAACAGAATGGAGGTTGGGCTTCAGAAGTTTAGTAGTTCTGAACTCTTCTGAACACACTCAAAAGCCAAAAGCCAGCCTGTAAGATGTCCTCACAGGTCTAGTTATTCCTGACATAACACTGACCCTGAGGGTGAAAGGGTTGGCGTGTTTTGTTAATTCTTTAAGCACAGCCAGGCAGCAGCTTGCCTGCGGGCTGTGCTTGGAGAAGACCAGGAGCTTTTGGGTGGTCCAGGTAGCAGAGAGAAGAGGATGATCCAGAGCGAGCGCAAGGCTTCCCGCTGTTCTACCTGGGAGGTAAGCCGTGTTGTACCGCATGCTCCAAAGCCACCAAGCTTCAGAGTACAGACTGAGTCACCTAGGGTGGACCCCGGAGCGACAGCGGTGAACGGCATCCCAGCTGGAGAATGGGCCAAGGACAGCCGCGCCGTCCCTGCGCAGCACCAGGGGTCTTGGGAGGTTGCTCTGCCCGGCCACAGGGAAACATTTGAGTGGATTCTGACAGTGGTTGTGTCAAGACGTCTCTGTGTGCCAGAGGATGCCTGCGGCCCTGCAGAGGGAGGGAAGAGGCTCAGCCCTGACACTGCCTCTGCACGCCTGCTGGCTCCCAGTACTGCGGCCCCGTAACTGGGTCAGAGTGTCAGCCCGGGAGGGCCTCTGGCTGCAGCTGGGTGGAAACAGCTGCCCCTGTGGGAGATGCAGCTGTTGCTACAGATGCCTCCAGGTGCTCAGAACTGGGTGCCACTCCTCCCCTGAGCACCCTTGGAAGCTCCTGGTGCTGAGCCTGCCTGGACCCAGTGCCAGGGGGGAGTGGCACCCCTTGGAGGGCATTCCGTGCTTGGGCGTCCCCAGCTCTCGGTGGCCAGGGGCGCTGTGGTCACACCTGCTGCGTCTGAGTGTGGGAAGGAGGCACAGATGGCCGTGAGTGGGGATGTGTGCCCGCAGCTGCTTAGCAGCTTCCCCGCAAGGCTTTCTACAAGCTCAGCTACAGGCTCAGAGGTGGGGTAGACCAGGCCGGAAGGAGGCGTCCAGCCATTCCAGCAGATCTTATGGATCTCTGTTTTTTGAGACAAGGGCTTGCTACTGTAGTTGAGGCTGGTCTTGAACTCACAGTGATCCTCCTGCCTCATGGTTTACAGGTTTCTGACAGACAGCAGCAGCTGAGCACTGCTGGCCTGGTGCCCCTGAAGACAGGTGCACGCTGCCTTCCACGAGTGTGTGCACTGGCCTTCACTGCCCTGTGTGAGCGCCTCCCTGGAGTCAGAGCCCGGCAGCCGGGCCCTGGGTGCTGACGCACGGAGCCTCCCTGTCCTACACAGAGTAGATCCTGGCCTTTCGTGATGGTGATGGCACTGGGTGTGAGAGGGAGCAGCACATACCTCGCCCTCCACCGTGGGGACTTCGAGGCTGTGGTCTTGGTTTTGTTTTAAGTTCTGCCGACATCTTAGCAGAGGTGGCTTTAGCTTTCTATTCAGAGTGTACGTCTGTTTCCGCAGAGGATCCTGACCTCACACAAGCTTCAGGATCTGCCTTTCAGTGATTCTCATGAGAAGGAGCTGAAGCCCTTACTCACGGCTACTGGTGACTCGGAACGAAGGGCCCCCTGCCCCCTCGCCACACATACCTGGAAGCCCAGCTGAGCCCCAGATCGTGAGTGTCCTACAGTGCGTCCCTCCGTCACTCCCAGGTTTCCCTTCTTCAGACTCCACGTCGTGGCCGATCATGCTGCCCGCAGTGCCTGTGACGGCTGTCTCCTCCTACTGCCACGTGCCTCCTGCATAGCTGACCGGTAACACCCGCCTTCTTCACACCTTCCCACTTGCTCTTATCTGTCCCTACTGCTGAGTGCCAACCCAAGCCCCCAGTGCTCCGGGCCTGGATTCCGAGGCCTGTCCTGCATTCCCCCCATCCACTCTACACTGCTGCTGGAAGGATGTTTTTCTGTGTCAGTGACAGTCTGGTATGATGTGCCTCTGCTTCAAATACTATATTCCATGGCTCTACTGCCTGCAGAGGATGGGTTATCTTAGCAAAGCCCTCAAGCTGCCTCAGGCCTCACGGCCTCCTGTCCTGTTCTCCTTTCAGCCTGTGTTCCAGCCCTGCATGGGGCCCTGTGCTCCCAGCACCAGGGTGGGCTTCCTCCTGGCCCTCTGCCCATCTGAAAGCTCTTCCCTCTTTTAAGACACACCTTTCTTCCTCTGAGAAGACTCCTCTCATCTTACACTTAGCGGAGCCTCTCTCTGCCAACTCACCTCACAGCTACCTACCTTCTCCTGGCACTTACACCTTTTGCTGTGGTTAGATGGCTTTGCATGTGTCCCTAACAACTCCTGGGCTGGGATTTGATCCCCACTGTGAGGTATTTGGAGCGCAGAGAACTGATCTGACTGTGGTGTCAAAGGTCACCTTTGGGAAGTGACTAAGGTTAGATAAGGTCATCGGGGAGCCTCCATGACTGTATCCTGGTGGCTTTACTAGAAGAGGGAGAGAGGCCTGGACACACACACACACACACACACACACACACACACACACTCCTCTTTCTTGCAATGTGATGCTCTGTATCCCCTAGGGACTTGGTCCGATGCGACCTCTTAACCTTGGACCTGCAGAACTATGAGCTAAAATAAACCACTTTTCTTTATAAAGCTATCCACACCATGGTACTGTATTTTTAGCAATAGTAAACAGACTACTAGAGGCCCTAACTAAATCACCACGCGGTTCTCTCCTGGACGCACTGGGCAGGCCCAGAGGACACGATTAGCGTCTTGCTTAGCTCAGTGCTTGGCACACAGTACACGTGCAGCAATTACTTTTGAATGAATGAATCAGTGATGGCTGGTAGCGCAGTTACCCTTCCATTTCAATTTCTTCCTCAAAGGCCACAGAAACTTATTTTAAACAACCACCCAGTTTCAGAAAGAGACAGCGCCCTGGAAAAATATATTGACCTTTTACCATTTTTAATTCACTGACCTAGGAAGGTCCCACAAGTCGTTGATTCTATTATTCAATGGCTGGTTATCCATACCATTGGCTTCACCCTCTTCCTTATTATGAAGCCGGCTGTGCAGTGTTACACTGATAGTTATAATTTATGGGGCCCTTGCTTGTGCCCTGCCTCGGGTTTGACATGTATCAAGTGCTATCTTGTTACCCACTCAGTTCTCATTACTATTGCGTTAGACAAATAAAGAATGTTTAAACATAGTAATGTATTAGGCGGAACGAGTCTAAATACTTGTTAGTGTGTCTTTCACAGAGCTTAGAGGGAGTGATTTCAACCGCTGCATTTCAATTTACTCTGTTGTGGACCTCAATTACCCACCTGGGTCTTGGTCTTCCACCAATGTGGACAAGAGACGGCTGAATATATTGCAGCCAGGACTTTGTTAAAGGCTCTGGGAGTGTTCCTCAATTTTGCAAGCAGAAAAATCAGTCAGACCAGTTGGAAAGAGAGGCGCTGACATGAAAAGAAAGAGGAAGCGAAGAGAAAACGTGAGGAGAAGAAGTGCAGAAAGTTAGAAAGGCCACGTAGGAAAAAGCACAGGGAAAATAGGAAGAAAGACATAGTAAGGAAGAGGGAGAAAACTAAGGTGGAGAAAGTAGGAACCTATGCTGGAGAAAAATGAAGAAGAAAATACAGGAACCTCAGGCTCACCTCATTTCTTACACATATGAATGGAAATAAAGATGTTCTTCAGAGAGACGCAAAACAATGTAATACTCTTCTACCCCTAAAGAGCCAGGTTCCTGCTGAGTGGTTTCCGGCAATAATTCCTCATCATCTGCTCAGGATCTTACTTAGAACTTAAGAGACTTGCGGGTCAATTGACTGAAAATCCTCCCCACCACAGGGCCCTTATTTTCTAGCAATTTAGTAAAGATGTCGGCGAAGGGCAGAAGTTGGAGAAGGGATAGGGTGCGATGAGCTCGGACACATGGTGTGGGTTTCAATCCTATTTGTGGGTGGGGAGCCCTGGCGAGCAGGCCGGAGTGGCACAGGGGACCTACGCCGCTGGCCCTCTGCTAGAGCAAGTGTGGTGTTGGTAGATTTCTAACGTGTATTTCAGGGTTTGAACCGCATCCGCTGCTCCCTCATTCTCTGCCACAGATTCTGAACGACAGTACTCGCCTCTGAGATAGTTTTCCTTCATAATTTTTCAATTTATTCTGGTCTCGAAAATGTATATAAATGAAAACAGAAAATTCAAGCACGGTGCCCCTTCCAGCACTGTGTTTGTGCCTCTGATGCCTCTTCAGCCCTGTCCGAGGCTCCCCTCACTGCTCCACCAAACCCTGAGACAGCGGCCGGCTTTCCAGGCCCTCCTCTCACTCATCTTTATTTTTCACCTCTTTTTGATTTTTTTTTTTCTTCCAGTACCGGGAATTGAACTCACAACCTTATGCTTGCCAGGCAGACGCTGTGCCGCTGAGCTAAATCCCCAGCCCTTTTCACCTCTTTTTAATCTAAAACCCGAAAATCTTTGTGAGAATCCAGATTGGCCTCAGGATTCAGGAAAACTGTTCCCTCCGTTCCCCGGTATAAAACCCCCAGGACGGTGGGGAACACAGCATTCCCTCCAAGCCCTTTTGTCCATCTGCTCTGGGGAGAGGTGAACCAGGCATCTTACCTCAAATCATTACAACAGCTTAGGTTTCCTTAGAGACAGGGAGAAAAAAGCATTGACTCAGGGATTCAGACAGCTTACTGTGGAGTAGCTTGTACACATTTAAATTAGCAGCAGGTGAGAGAGCCCTAGGGCTGCGGGTTAGCAACTTAACTCACTTTGTCTTTGTTCCCTTCTCAAAGTGAGGGCCATCCAGCCCGCAGAGGAGGGCACTCTTACCTTGCGGGGCTTCACTTTATCGTGGTAGTCGTACTGGAAGATTCCTTTGTAGCTCAGTCCCAGCCACCATGGTATTCCCTGCTTGTCCTAGGACAGCAAAAGGTGTACAGGTCAGTAAGGGGCCAGAGAAGATAAACATGGACCGAGGGAGGGCTTCCTGGCTTGGCTGAAAATAAGGAAAAATGCATACCGCTTCCTTGGAATGCACGGGGCCGACCTGGCTGCTTTGGACTTTACAGATAAGCCCGTCCTGGAAGGATGTGCAGTCATAAGGCCAGGGTGGCACGGACAGAGGCGCAGGCTGAGGACACGCTCTGTTCCTAACCAGCACCGCGGCCACGGTGTCTTCCTCCTTCACAAATAAGGAGCAAATGCTCTGTTTCCCCTCTTCTGATGCCTTCCAGGTTGGGCCCCTCGCTCACCACACAGAAAAACAAGAGACACTGAGACTTCCGGTAAAATGAATGGCCAGAGCTTTACTCAGGGCCCTGTCCAGACAAGCAAGCCAGTGCATCACAGGCTCCACCATGTCACCCCTGGTGTCCCAAGGACAGCTGGGTGCCCGGCAGGATTTCAGGACTCAGGCTGTTGAACACAGAACCAAAAGCTCCAACAGACAGAATCAGAAACACCAAGTCCTGTTTACTCATTAATAATGTCACTCAAGTGGACACTGCAATTCTCTGTTCAGACAGGATGATTTTGAGTTGTTCATTAAAGCTCCCAGATGCTCGGATTTTATGACAGGAATGTTAAGAAGACTTTTCAAGATTTGTGCTAATTGCTGCATCTCCAAATAACCTGATACCTCTACTATAGGTGTCTCAAAAACTCAAAATTAGCACAGTGATTTCCAGTTACCTGGGGTCTGAATTATTTCAGGGTAAATACAAAGATGAAAGGCAAAAGAAAAATATTTGGAAGTGTCTTAAAAGCTTCAAGAGCAAACGGTTTCTTTCATTCTTTTTCTGAAGATTTCACCTAGAGCCTTACATAGGCTAAGCACATGCTGCACCGCTGAGCCACCCACAGCCCCCAAAATATGGAAGCTGTATGAGCCCCTTCCTTTGAGAAATACCTGTGCCCTGCAATGGCTTCAGAGAGCAGAACAGGGTGGCTGTGTCCGTGCCACCCTGGCCTTATGACTGAACATTCTTCTAGGACGGGCTTATCTGTAAGGTCCAAAGCAGCCAGGTGGGCCCCGTCCATCCCAAGGAAGCGGCACCACAGTGACATCAGGCTGACCAGGTAAGTGAAGCTGGTACAACGCAACTGGGCATCGCTGAGGTCACAAGACCGCCCAGCAGTGAGTGTGACACGCACAGGCTGTGCTGGCTTGAACCGAGAGGCTTTTACCAGTGTTAGCAGAGTAATAACTGCTTACGCTTTGAGACTTCAGGCATCAAACACATACTCAGTGGAGACTTTGCCAATCACAAGCCCCCCTCCTGGTCGCCAACAAACTGAGGAGAGGAAAGGGCACGTTGGGAAGGTTGCACCGGAAGGACGAAAGCATGACCATCAGAGGCAACCTTAATGTTAAAGTCTGGGGCTGCCCACAGGATGGACCACAGGTCACATCTGGCCTAAAGACTGGATGAAGCTTCCTGTATCTCAAACAGTCTTCTAGCACTCAGAAGGCTTTCTGAGGGTAGTTGATGAGGCAAATATCTTAATCTCTTGTAGTGATAAGAGACAGAATTGAACTCAAGTTCAGAACAAAGATTAAGCTAGAGCATGTCACCCTGCTCCCGACACTCCAGCTCAGGTTTGAGCACAGCAGGCTGGTCATGACGGCCACATGAGTTCTTGGCGACGGTGAAGAATTAAGAGCTCCTACTGGGGGAAGAACTTTGGTAGGGCATCAGGAGCAGAGTGTTGAAGAGATCCTGAGCTGAATTACTGGATAGGTCTGGAGTCCCCACAGGGGCCTTGGAGCTTTGGTCTCCACAGCTGTGACTGCAGCCCTCGTGTCTCATTATGGAGGTGCACACCTCCAACGCAACCCAATTCTCAGTACACGTGTCACTCAGTCCATGGGTACTGAGCAGGTCTGGGCAGGAGCCTCGCCTGGTTCTCGGAACGCACCACAGCAGGCGGCATTAGTGTTTGCCATCTAAGTCTGCAGTTTAGCATCTCCATGCATGGTGATGGCATAAAAGTGTTACACAGGTTCCCAAGGGCAATGCAGGATGAAGGAAAGGTGCTTTCGCCTAAAGAAATTTCAAAAATATAGGGGGAGGAAACAAGGAAAGACACTGTAAAAGAGCGAGAGAATCTTGTGTTGGCTGGTGGAACTGTATTGAGTTGAGAGTAGTTTCTATTCTTTTAGGCTGGACTCCGGACACTCACTTAGGGGTTAAAGAAGAAAGAGAATTTCTCCTCTTTGTGGGGAACATCTTTATCTACTACTTCAAAGAAGAGATCCCAGTCTAGTGTACTATGGGTAAAATCAAAGGGGACATAGAATGGAGTCAACGTCTCACTGGACTGGCCACAGTAATGTTCAAGAAGACAGACCCTACCTCTGACACGGTCCTGTGCTCAGGGTGTCAGCCCGTGAGCCCAGTTCTCCTGAGGAGCTGACCACATGGCACTTGATGACCAAGAAAAACACTTGATTGTGCTCCAAGAGTTTTTCTCTATGCTGTCTTGTGTTGCAGTCTTCTACTGTGACACCCCGAAGTCCTGACCTCCCCCAGATCCCTCTAAAACCAGAAGGAAGCAGGGATTTTTTTTGAAAGCTAGTTCACAAAAAGGAAAATGAGTTTTGGAAAATGATTAAATCAACTCTCGATGGCAAAACGTAGCTGCTCAGCTTCCCCAGGCACACAGTCTTCTTGGCCAGCCCATTCCCTGCCGACTCCTATTCCTCCCAAGGTTTTCAGGGAGACTTAAACATCGCAAGTTTTTGTTCGCTTGCTCGTTTTTTAAGGGCAGGTGAGCAACCTCCACCGTGAGCTCACTCACCTTCACTGCGTAGTAGTGAACCCCGTAGGTCGGGAGAGACTCCACGATGCTCATGTAGCTGTGAAGACAACGGACACACACACAAACGTAAGTGCACATAAGGCTGGTTCTTTGGCAGAACTGGTACAATATACAGAGGGTGTGTGTGTGTGTGTGATATAAAGTTCTGGGAGTGATTATTTACTCAAAAATTCAATTAAAACATTGCCCCCCCCAGACACATCTTTCCCAGCAGAGTTGAACACCCTTGACATGTGCTGAGTGAACACACAAGCACAAGCCTCCTGTGTGCTGCAAGAGCCACTTACTTCACGATCGCTTGGCCTCTCGTCTGGCCATTCAGCTTCTTGTAGTGCTCAATCACTCTGTCCTCACTAGAATGAGAAGGAGAGGGTTCTGCTGTGAGAGGCCAGGACGCCGCTGCAGGAGACACTTCTGAGCTCTATCAGCCTCCCAGGGCGCTCCCAGGAACCATCCACTCTGGAAAATGCTTGGTCCTGAGGCGACATTTCTAAGTTCCACCCGAGCGAAATCCCTTGGGCTATATCAAGTCAGTTTAGAAAATGCCTGTCTCCCTCTCAGAGGACCCATGCGGTCTTTCTGCGGGGCTTCTAATCAGTGAAATGAGATTAGCCCCCTGGCTGGGAGGTCCAGCTTCTTGCAGGAAATGATAACCCCAGAGAAGAGGAAAGAGCAGGCAGAAGTGGTCTCAAGTAGACACCAGGGGTAGATACTCAGGCCTCTCTTGTCACTTTCCTCATCGAGCGAGTCCTGTCCTCAGGGGCCTCGTGGGGCGGGGTGGGGGTCGGCCCCGCAGGGTGCTCAGGGCTCACCTCTTCTGAATGAGCAGTCATGGCGTCAGTGCCTCCAGAGGGCAAGGAAAGTTCTGGAACTTGGGTTTGGTTAACTACAAATCGGGAGGCCACAAAAGATCCAGAGGAGCACTGGAGAAGCCATATCCTAGCTGCCAGCACGAGACAACAATTCCTTTCCCTCTGGAAATGTATTTATCATAAAAAACAAGAGATGCCCTGGCTCCCTGGGGGCAGCAGCTGGCCACACGTTTCTCTGAGCGAGAAGAAGCTGGCTGTTTGGGGGCAGCACGACCTTCTGTGTGAGGCGACCCTGGCGCTCCACCACTGTCCCGGGAAGCCCAGAGCCAGCAAGGGGAGAGTGGCAGAGCAGCTGCGGGCACAGGCCTCCTGCCTCACCTGCGGAGGCCGCGTCTCACCGCCTCAGCCCCATCATCTGCCCACACGGCCTTGATCTAGATGCCTCCCCGCCTGCCTCACATCTGCCCAGCAGCAGCCGGGTGGACCCCCGCCTGTGTCCTTAGCAGGGTGGGTCGGCTCTGAGAGCTGCTCCCTCCCATCTCATCGGCTGACTTTTCCTGTCTGTTGTTAATTTACTATCCATCGTGCATCTGGAGCCTTCCTTCCCCACTTTTCGCATTTTCTGTTTTTAGCAAGGTCACCTCTGGGGGTAACTCGCTCTGGATGTTCAAGACTTAGTCCTTGGGGGAAATTCACTTTTTAATTACCATCATATTCTTTAATTAATATCATTTAATTTTAGTGTCTGAAATGGGATGTGGGCGAGGAGGTAGCCCTCTTCCCGAGGAAGTGTCCTTCAGGTCCCTGGCATGACAAGGACTGGTGGACTGGAGAGTGTTCCCACGGGGCGCAGTGCCCACTGCCCGTGACGGAGCAGGCTTGGTCTGCTCCTCGGCTCCACACCGCCGGACATCGTCTATCAGGAGTGGCCGAGTCCCATCCACCTCACAGCTCCCGAGAGGCATCCTCCACGGGGACAGCCCTGGCTGCCCACACCTTCGGAGCTGCGCCAGCAGGTTCCCGAGACCATGTCTCTGGCTCCCGCTCCACCCACCCATGAAATCAACAGCTGTGCTGGCCCACTTCCTGCCTCATGACCCGGGAGTCAGTGAGGCCCACTCCGAGGTCAGGGTCAAGCAATTCAAGGCAAGTACGAGTCTAACGAGTTTCTCTCTTCCCCAGCTCTGGGACAGCAAGTCCCTGGGGAGAGGTCAGCCCACGACAGTCAGTGGGGTGTGTGGTCGTGAACAATAGGCGGGCTCACGGAGACATCAAGGAAGCAACATCTAAACTCCGTTAGGCAGCTATAGCTGTTTCTTTTTTTTTTTTGGTTTTTCTCCGGTACCGGGAACCGAACTCACGACCTTGCGCTTGTCAGGCAGGCGCTTTTGCCGCTGAGCTAAATCCCCAGCCCCTATAGCTGTTTCTTAAGGAAGTGGCCTGACCACAGGGCCTCGAGGCGCCTGCCGCCTACAGAAACTGCTGCATCTCACACTGCGTTCTGCATCTCCTGTTGTCTGAGCCCTCAGGGAAGCCGCAGAGGTGACCTTCACCTGCCTCAGCCTTCCTGCTCCTCTCTCACTTGAGGCTCCTCTGGCCTGTCACGTGATAACACTCAGAGCGATGGGGTGACTGCACGGTAATTCAGCGTTACTATGCACTCTGCACTGCTTCCCAGTTTCACTCTGTGACTGCTGACTTCCCCTCTTCCTTATAGTCTGATGTCAACCCTGCTCTTCAGATGGAGAAATCCACACAGGCCATCATAACCCCACTGAGCTCGGCGAGGCTGCCCACTGCACCGGCAAAGGCAGCGCAAATGGACAAGACGGAGAGCGGTGATGAAATCCTTGACTCAGGAAGGGTCTTGGACCGAGACTGCAGGCCTGAGGAGCAGGAAAAGACCCCCCCGCCCAGAAGGGGTCAGGCCAGCCTTGTGACGGGCGGTGGTGCTGAGGCTGGCTCAGTCCGCCAGCTTTAGCTCCCCTTTCATTCTGTCCCTACAGGAAGCAAGGATGGCATCCTCCCTCTCCTACAGCCTTTGCTTTTAAAAATCTGCATGAATAGGTTGAACTATCAGAGCCAAACATGTGGAGTGAGGTGAAAAGGCCTATTTGTGTTTTTGTTTCTGTGCTTCTGAAAACTGAACCCAGGGTCTTCACACTGAGCTACACCCCTTGTCCTTGCGTTTTTATATTTTTATTTTGAGACAGGGTCTCACTAAGTTCTGGGTTATCCAGACTGGGCTTGAATTTGCAGTCTTCCTGCTGCAGCTTCCCAGAGCGCTGGAATGGCAGGCGTGCACTACACGCCTGGCTTTCTTTAGTTTTCAAAAGCATCATCAGGACGGTTCATGCTCCTGGCACAGCTGGGCTGTGAATTTGGGCAACGGTCCAAGCACTTACAGATCTGTGCAAGGCCCAGGAAAGTACCGGTCTGCTCACCGACTACGAGATGTGTTGGCAAGGCAGCTGTGGATGTGAATGCCAGGAAGACGCTGGTAACAGCGTGTGAGCAGAGGTGAAGATCGTGAGAGGGAGGGAGAGGGACGAGTTCGTAGAAGAGCACGGGGGGTGTGGGAGAATTCTGGATGCGAATGAAGAGATGTAAAGCGTGGGTTAGGCCAAGGGCAGCTTTGACACTTTACTCACTGCCGTTGCAGCTCTGATGCAAACACATCCTCCAGTGTACTCTGCGTGTGCATGCACGGTGCTGAGAACTGAGCCCAGGCCTTCCACACGCCAGGCAGGTGCTGCACCGCTGAGCTCTACCCCAGCCCTCAGCCCTCCATGGCAGACCTGCTGGTTTCCGGAGCTCCTGTCTTACATCCCTGTCTCCTGCACCATCTGCTTCCTGAACATGAGCGGCTGGGGAGATGCAGAAGATAAGGCCCAGGGAGCACGGGGAGCTGGGGCAGGGTGCTGAGGTTTCATGAGTGAAGACAGAAGAATGTCCCTTCTGGGTGGTCACACATGCAGACTGTAAGACCAGAAATCTGGAAGCAGATGCACGTCTTGGGAGCAGGTCATAAGGCTGCTATTGACCTGCCTCTACGCACTCCAAGTCAGAGTGACCACAGATCAGTGCCCAGGGATGAAGTCAGGACACTGCAGGGAGCGGCCCTGAGCCAGCCCTCCTGTGACTGTGACCACTCAGACAGACGCAGTCTCTGAGCTGGACTTTAATCCTGCCAGGAAACTCTGCATCAGGATGCAGCCTCTCCTACCCGAAGGAGTTACTCAAAGCCACCTGAGCGACTGAACAGCTACTACCCTGAGGTGTCCACACAAGACCCAACGCCAGTGACCCAAGTAGTTCAGAAAGCGCATACAGAAGTGCTAGCATGTCACAGGTACCTGACTGGGATCATCTTGTCCTGCACGTTGCGTCTTACTTTGTTTTCCACTACAAGCAGTTATGCTGATTCTGTTAAGAAGTCAGGAGGGACCTCAGAGAAGCAGGGCTGTCCCTGTCACAGGCCAGCACTCTGGGCTCATGCACACAGCAGGATTTCAACACATGCCCCAGCAGTGCAAGCTCTGTTCAACTGGGGCCCAAACCACAACCTGGGCCCCTGTCACAGGCCGGAGTCACGCAGAATCGTAATTTAGGGCCTGACAGAAGAACTAAGGCATAGCGTTTCAGGGCAGCTAAATCAGGAGACAGGAAACACTGAGGGAGAAGAAAAGATGCAGTCTCTCTTGCCGACAAAGAGAACCCTCTGTCTGTCTCCAGCTCTGTCCTAACCCTCACAGGTCCTGTCTCCAAATGACAGAGTTCCCTCATGAAGTCCTACCACACACAGAGGGCTCTTGAGGTAGGTGAAATTCCAACGTGAAATTTTAGAAGCGTTTTGTTAAATTAAAAAAAGACAAGGAAAAAGAGAATCCTCATGCGCAACACGTCATTGACACAAATGGTTTCTGAAGACAGAGGTTATTGAGCCCAAAGCGAGGCAGCGCAGGCCGGCTTGCCTGGGCTGTGCTGGCGGAGCCCGGGGTGTCTTACCAGTAGGCCAGGGAGGGGTGCTCCTTCAGGGCTTGCGTGGGGAGTGCCGGCAGCTTCTTCAGGTCACTCCTCACGACCTCGTTGCTGAAAGAGAGATGGCCAGAAACGCACTCACTCTGAGAAAACCACCGGGCTATCAGAGCAGAGCTGACCCACTGGCTGGCCAGAGAGCCCACATCTGTTCCCGGTTACGGCCCAGTGGGGGAGGTAGGGGCGCTCTCTTTCTGTTTATTTACTTAATGTAGATGGTTAAGAGCCGAGGGCCCCTCCTCCAGCATGGAACCAGGACACTGCTCAGAGGGCTTGGGCTCGCCCTCACCGGGGCACAGACTGAGAGCCCAGGGCCCCGGGTCCCCATGGGGGAGGGTCCCAAGACAAGCTCCCCAGTGTCTGAAGCTAGATTCACAGGACTCCAAGAATGGCTAATGCCACCACTTCCTCTGGGGAAGTGTTCACCTTGCCAGTACACAGTGGTACTTTCCTTGGCTTAGACTGACCACACGCTGAAAAGTGTTTACTGAAATATGACAAATTAGCAACCCTTGCTTTAACAAGGCCTGGGAACTACTTGGAAAGTGTAGAGTCAGGCAATCTCTTGCATCTGGTCTGGGCCTGGAGTGTCATCTTTCCCCCAGATCTGTATGTGCTCAGAGTTGGAAGAGGCACTGGACTCCTCTAGTCTAACCAACCTTCTTCAGATGCTGAACACCTGTCACAACAAGCAGTAGACCCACACTCCCCCTGCAGGGCTGTCCATGGTTCACACCCACTCACTGCCTCCAGCGGCACCCACGAAGTGACGCTTCTGGTAATGAACGGGTGTCCCCCTAAGCTGGCCCACCAGGAAGCCTCAGATGTCTCAGCCCTGGGGCCACCCAGGCTTATTTCATAGAACCCTGCGTTTGATCCGAGGCTCTAGCCTGGGCTGTTAGCAGAGTTTGTGCTGCTCACACAAAGCAAGACAAATCCTGGCTAGCAGGACACAGGGCAGTGCCGTCCAGAAAAGTAGTAAGATAGGAGATCAATAAATAAATGTAAAGGGAGAAACACCCCAAATACAGACGGAGCTCCTGGGGCATTTTGGACAGCCATTTCCTTGCATCCTCAGGGGAGATCACTGCGGCCAGCCATGGTGCCAGCAGCTCCATCTCTAGATGTCATGTGCCCCTGGGAAGCACCATGCCAACACCTAGAGCGCAGTGAGCTGGTGACACGGAATCATGTGGATGCTTAGTGACATTATAGCGGGGCATCTTTCAAATGCACTAAGCACAAAGACAGCGATGTTCGTGAATCTGAGCCTTGAACAACCAACCAGAGAAACAAGTTGCACTTGGGATTGTTTGACTCAGTGTATGCAATTAAAATATTAAAATCTGAGTAGCCAGACAGCGACACGGCATCTAGTAATCATAAGGTATTTATGGAGTTCACATTGGTGTAGGGGGAGCCCTGGGCAGGGTACAAAAGTAACGAGGTTTGGGTGCAATGGTGCATGCCTGTAATCCCAGCTGCTCTGGAGGCTGAGGCCGAACACAAGTTCCAGGCCAGTCTGAGCAACTTAGTGGACACTATATCAAAGCAAATCAAAAAAAAGTTCAGGGAGTGGAGCTCAGTGGTAGAGTACTTGCCTAGCATGTGCAAGGCATGGAGTTCAATCCCCAATACTACTACTAATAATAATAATAAAAAAAGTGATGTGACATAGCTCTTATCCAAAAGGCACTCCCAAGTTAGCTGGGGAGGCAGCGATAGGTGCATGATGCAAGATAACTAGCTGTTTGATTGTGTCAATCCCAGCAACAAATTTGAAAGTTTAGAGGAAATAAAGGCCCTCTGAGGCTCTGGAGTGACAGCCGGCTTTGGGGGAGACGTCGCATGAAGGAAAGAAGAGGAATATTGCGCTTCCTCTCAGCGGGACACAGGACAAATCCTGGAGGTATGAGAACTAGAACTGCAAACACGATAGGAAGGGGTATGAGCGACAGACAGTGCAGCTCAAGAGGCAGGTGAGGCCCAGAACACTGAGGCCCTTCAATGCCAGGCTCAGAGGCTTCAGGTTGCCCCAGCCGGCAGTGGGACGATCCCTGGGAGTTTTCAAACAGTGAATTCCTGATGCTTAAGAAAATTCAATTCTCGGGGCTGGGGATTTAGCTCAGAGGCGGAGCGCCTGCCTGGCAAGCACGAGGTCGTGAGTTCGATTCCTGGTACCGGAAAAACAACAACAACAACAACAAAAAATTCAATTCTCAAGTATGATTTGGAGCTTTTACCCGTGTACTACTATAAGACACAGTTGAGGCAAATATTCAGCTTGCCACACACTCGCGAGCCCACTGATGGGTTGTTAGGCCTCTCCGCACTGAACTGTAAGTTCCCTGGGCACAGGGATTTGATTCACAGCTCATCGGTGTCTGAGAGGATGCCTTAAATATGGACAGACACTGTTGCTGGATAGGTGCTTGTGAGGAGAAACCGCGAAGAGCGATCGGGAGCTCTGTCATGGACTTCGGTTTGGGTCACCCCCACCGTCACGCCTGAAGTGCATTTAGGGAACGAAGGAACCGAAGGAGGAAGAGATCATTTTACCCTCCAAAGCTCATCTGTTGGCAAACAAGTTCCCTGATGACAGCCACACGCTTCACTTCCTCGCTGAAGCTTGAAGTTATTCTAGAGCACTCCACTAGGGCGAGGTTACGTAAAAACAGAGAAATCTCCGGGGGTGAAGCCCAGCCAAATCCATTACACCCGGGAGGGATCTGTGGTTCCTGTCCTTTCCCGACACAAGGGTGCAGCAGCCTTTCCTTTGTAAAAACCTGCACTGACTTGGAGGCGTCTATTCCCCTCGACCCAGCCGAACTCCCAGGCTGGAACCCGGAAAGCTGCCCAGTGGAGGTGAACACTCACCCTCCAGACGCATGCAAGGCTGTGGCCTGACAGATATGCTAGCGGGTCCCAGCCTCCTCCCTTGGTGACTGCTGCTGTAATGGTTTCCCAGAGTTCAGGGCCAGTTTATATCACACCCGAACCCAGCACATCTCCGTCATACACTATTTTCAGAAACAGCAAAAAGGTCTTTTTTTCTGAGCGCCACTTGCTAAACCAAGAATCCAAGTCCAGGTTTCTCATTTTTTTATATGTGGACCAGATTTTATTTAAAATATTAGGTGTAAGCCAGGCATGGTGGTACACACCTATAATCCCAGCTACTCTGAGGGTGAGGTAGAGGATCTTGAGTTTGAGGCCAGCCTGCATAACTTGGTGAGACCTTGTCTCAAAATAAAACATTTCTTTAAAGGGCTGGGAGTGTAGCTCAGTGCTAGGGCACTTGCCTAGCATGTTTGAGGCCCTGGGTGCAGCACTTAGGACCACAAACTATATATA